TCACAGATATATAGTCTATTGGGGAGATAGTTATGAGTGAGATAGTTCATTAGGGAGATAGATAGTCTATTAGAACAGATAGATAGTCTATTAGGGGAGATAGATAGTCTATTAGAACAGATAGATATCATAGATAGATAGTCTATTGTAGTTAGATATAGTCTATTAGGGTAATCATTAGGGGAATTAGTCTGTCAGATTATGAATTTAAATACATATCGATTTCTAAGACAATAAAACAAACGATGCGTCAGATAAAGTGTTAACAAGCCTTATAGTGTAAAATATTCACTAAATTCTTCACCAAGCAGCGATAATACGGAGTTGTTGTTGTTGTTGATTTTTTGCTTTGTTTTCATATACAGGCAAGAGTCAGTCACCCGTACACAGCCACGAGGAACTGTTATATTATACAGAATCATCTAGTGAACAAAACATCATTAAATCCCAATAGCTGAAGTGAAAACGTGGAGGAGAAATAACAAAAATTCTAACCAAATCTAAACAGAAATTAAAATATTTGATCATGTGCACTATCTCACGCAGGAGCAGCACCACACACACACACACACACACACACACACACACACACACACACACACACACACAAACCAGTAGACACAACACCTAAAACCCAGGGGAAAACACGACCAAGAATAGCGGCAGCAAGCTCAGGGAGACTTAGAGCAAACTGCATAATAAAAACAGCAGCGAGTCTCGTCAGGATTAATACCAGTTTGGGGCCAAAATTTCCCGGATGCTTTTGGTAAATATCTGGTATCTACTTGTGGGTCAAACATGTGCAGTATCTTGGTTTAAAGTTGGTGATCGCGGCTTTTCATTGTAAGTTACGTCGAAATGCCAACAAGAAAAAGTTACATATGCACAGGTGGAGGCAGGAGCAGCAGTAGGTACACTATGGTACAGTGGTGGAGGCAGCAGCAGCAGCACTATGGTACAGTGGTGGAGGCAGCAGCAGCAGCAGGTACACTATGGTACAGTGGTGGAGGCAGCAGCAGCAGCAGGCGGTACAGTGGTGGAGGCAATAGCAGCAGCAGGTACACTATGGTACAGTGGTGGAGGCAATAGCAGCAGCAGGTACACTATGGTACAGTGGTGGAGGCAATAGCAGCAGCAGGTACACTATGGTACAGTGGTGGAGGCAATAGCAGCAGCAAGTACACTATGGTACAGTGGTGGAGGCAATAGCAGCAGCAGGTACACTATGGTACGGTGGTGGAGGCAATAGCAGCAGCAGGTACACTATGGTACAGTGGTGGAGGCAATAGCAGCAGCAGGTACACTATGGTACGGTGGTGGAGGCAATAGCAGCAGCAAGTACACTATGGTACAGTGGAGGACAGCATCTTCCGTGAGGGGTCCAGCATCATCAGTTCCCAGTTTCGACATTTTAATTAATGTTCAATGTGGCCATAATGTGTAGAGTCACGCAACCTTGTTTCTGACCTCCCGTGACCTTCTGACCCGGCCTTCTTGTTGTTGGCTCTCGCTATGTTCTTGTCTGACACATTCGTCAAGCTTAGCAAGTCGTCGGGTCACACCACAGCGTTATAGGACTTGAGTCAAAGGTAACCTCCAAACCTATTTATAAACTCTTAGTGTTTTTGTAGCTACTATTCACAAGATGGATGAACACTGGAAACAAATTTCCTTGTATTGTTTCAGTGTAAAGCCATTTTTTCTAATAACGCTGTTGATAAATATTTCTTAAATGAACCGTAGGCCCAGGGTGAGGTCACACGCGGTAATCGAGAACAATAACAAGGGGCCCACGAGGCTTTAATGTCCATTACAAGTGGGAGTGGTTGATGTCCGACACTATCTGTCAAAGGAACCATTCCTACAGTGTTTCAACAAAACAGAGCAGCAGGTTATGGCAATTTTCTTTTCTTCATTTTAGTACCAGCAATCATACTGGATGGTGTACATTGCTGTCAGACAAATGTTGAAACATCCAAGGAAAATTTCTGGTAAGTTTCAATAAAATCGAAGAAGTAGGTTATTACTTGTCGAAAATGTGACGTGTGATTACAGACGACACAGCCGACCACAGCAACAGCCGAGGTGGACCAACAAGGCGAGATAACGGCGAGCGACCGGGTCGTCCATGAAGCTGACAAGGAAAATGTTTGTTTCATTCACCATAATTTCCTTACATATGACGATATAAAGAGGCCGAGAGAATTATCATTTCCCTTTTTAATATACTTTAACTTCCATTAGTCTCTTCAAACACATTTTTCATTAAGTGTATCCAAGTTAATTATCAATAATAGTCAGTATTGCCTTATTGATCAGTTAAATTCATACATGTAAACAAAAATATTTGTTAAAAATTAAAATAAGTGAAGAAACTTCAGTCATTTACATCTGTGCTTTATTCAACATCATCTATGCTTTAATTATTATTTTTTTTACATGATGACCAAATATTGTACACCTTCAGCCACCATGTATTGCAGTGCTGATGAAATACAATGACACCTCTGAATAAATAAAATTTCATTGTGCAAAAGCTTAATATCGGTCTAGGCCTCTATACCCTCGTGCCAGTCTGGGATGGATCAATCGTGTATATACCTGTATTGTGTTTAAGTCAAGTTTGTACCATGGCATACAGGTCAGACTTTTGTTTTTGCACTATTGTCTCATACATCAGCCATGCTGGGCGGGTGTGAAGTGTAAAATGTGGCCAACCAGCACTTGAAGGACAACTCTACAGGAAGACTTCCTCCTTAACAGACACCCGCGGGTTTCATGCAAAATAAAAATAAAAATAAATAAATAAATAAATAAAACAGCACATATATTCATATTTCTTTTGAACAATATATGAAACCCGCGAGTGTTTGTTAAGGAGGAAGTCTTCCACTAGTGTTGTCCTTCAGGTGTTAGTTGGCCACATTTCACACTTCTCTGACCTCCAGGAAGCATCTCAGGCAGCTTGGGATGCTTCCAGGTCACACTGTCCAGGACATAGATTTTTCAAAGTAAAAATTTTCTTCGTAACGAATGTTGACGGGGGGAAAACATTGATGTCTTACATTTTAACCCAACGCTGCTTTTTAATCTGGGGCCACAAATTGCTACCCGACCCACGATCAAGAATGACACTAATATATTTGGTATTCATCTTTGATATACTCTATCCAATTACACGTGACCTTGGACGCCTCATGTGCCCAGTGAACTAGACCACGACACGCTGCCGGGACAAAATGCTTTCTGACTAATGACCTCCATTTTACAAATAACGACAGAGTCGTTAAGTCAGACTAATTTTTGTCACTCGGCGCTGTAATTACGTCCAGACTATATATCCCCGAGCCTCGTTAGGTGCGGTTATGTTGTTATTATATACACCCCTCCTAGCCCCCCATCCCCTCCACACACACTCCTGGCCCCCCCACCCCCTCCACACACACCCTGGCCCCCACCCTCCACACACACTGGCCCCACCCCCTCCACACACACACCCCTGGCCCCCCACCCCTTCCACACACACACCCCCTGGCCCCCACCCACACACTGTCCCCATCACACACACACCCTGGCCCCCATCCCTCCACACACACACACTCCTGACCCCCACCCCTCCACACACACCTGGCCCCCCATCCCTCCACACACACCCTGGCCCCCCATCCCTCCACACACACTCTGTCCCACACACAGTCCTGGTCCCCCACCCCTCCACACATGCTCCTGGCCCCATCCCTCCACAAACACTCCTGGCCCCCCACCCCTCCACACACACTCCTGGCCCCCCAACCCCTCCACACAGTCCTGGTCCCCCACCCCTCCACACACTCCCTGGCCCCCACTCCACACACACTCTTGGCCCCCACCCTCCACACACACCCTGGCCCCCACCCCTTCCACACACACACCCTGGCCCCCCACCCTCCACACACACCCTGTCCCTCATCCCCTCCACACACACACACCCTGGCCCCATCCCTCCACACACACACACTCCTGACCCCCCCACCTCCACACATACTCCTGGCCCCCCATCCCTCCACAAACACCCTGTCCCCCACCCCCTCCACACACACCCCTGGCCCCCATCCCTCCACACACACACACCCTGACCCCACCCCTCCACACATACCCTGGCCCCCATCCCTCCACAAACACTCCTGGCCCCCATCCCCTCCACAAACACTCCTGGCCCCCATCCTCCACAAACACTCCCCCCCATCCCTCCACAAACACTCCTGGCCCCCCCCCTCCACAAACACTCCTGTCCCCCACCTCCTCCTAGCCCCACCCTCTCCTGCTCATCCTCCTCTCCACACACACACACACACACACACACATACTCCTGGCCTCCCATTATCTCCATCCTTCTCACTCAAAATGCACTCAATGTTAAGCCTGTAAGTTAATTTAGGTGTTACATTTATTAATCATGTTGTTAACTGCGCCGGTCTATACATATTAACTCTGGTGATAAACATACAGTATTAGTTAGCCCGGTGCCGCACTTGCTAACCCCCGGCGTGTTGAGCAAGTCTCCCTGGTGTTAGCGTTGCCGTGCCAGGCCTCAGTTATCACACGCTAGTTATCAATTATACCTGCTACGGCACCTTGGATCAACCCGCAGATGAATTATCACTCTGGGATAGTAATTTCTGATAATTTGGCTGCAGTGTTTAGATCTATATGCCCTGGAGCGACATACAAGACCTGTATCCCTGTATTGGTAGCTATGTGGTGAGGTGAAACACCATATCCTATTCTGTATAGTTATTAAACGTCAAAAATTTAAATGATACAATCTTCCACACTTAATTTACAAGACCTAATTATATAATCTGAGGAAATGTGGAACTAAGACAACAATAACATTACTTACTTCTGTACTGTATATCTCGACGGTAAATTACGAGTACAGTATTTATTAAGACGAGTCTGCTATAGTCAGATCCTCCAGCGCTGACATCACTAACATAGGTTACCTCAGCTCAGCCAGCCTATGGTGCTGACGTCACTATCGGAGGTACATCAGCTCCGTCCCTGTTGCTGACGTCACGATCAGAGGGTACGTCAGCTCCGTCCCAGTTGTTGACGTCACTATCAGAGGGTACGTCAACTCCGTCCCTGTTGTTGACGTCACTATCAGAGGGTACGTCAACTCCGTCCCTGTTGTTGACGTCACTATCAGAGGATACGTCAGCTCCGTCCCTGTTGTTGACGTCACTATCAGAGGGTACGTCAGCTCCGTCCCTGTTGTTGACGTCACTATCAGAGGGTACATCAGCTCCGTCCCTGTTGTTGACGTCACTATCAGAGGGTACATCAGCTCCGTCCCTGTTGTTGACGTCACTATCAGAGGGTACGTCAGCTCCGTCCCTGTTGCTGACGTCACTATCAGAGGGTACGTCAGCTCCGTCCCTGTTGTTGACGTCACTATCAGAGGGTACGTCAGCTCCAACCCCGGTGCTGACTTTCTCACCAGTCAACGACTTTGTTTTTTTTTCCATTTCCTGCTCTCGGTGCGGCGCCATAACTGTGATGAGGGGTGCCTGCGGTAGACACACAGACAGAGCGACACATTTATCTGTGTCCTGTGCAGCACAGACACCGCCGACGCAGTGTCTAGACGAGGATACAAACATCAACGACAAACAGCTGCTGTTAACCGTCATGGTAGTGAGGCGTATTAAATTCCATGGGGCTAGCCACCCTTGCTGCACCAAAGGTCAATGCTGCACCTCACGATGATGCACCGCACAATGCTGCTATACGGTGGCTACTGGGTTCAGACCTCACCTCCGGTTGTTATTGTTACAGTGTGTAAACAAAACGAAGGTTTTATGTAAATATTTATATCAAATGTTTAGAAACACACACACACACACACACACACACACACACACACACACACACACACACACACACACACACACACACATGACCCTCCCCACATCATTCTCTAAGGGCTGTTGATTCTTGAAGATATTTATGTGGTGCGCAGTAAGCTGTGTCCACACATACAATAAACGTTTGTGAGAAGAGAGCTAAACTTAACATGCTAATGTCATGGTGCATGTGTGCACGTTTGTGTATGTGTGTATGTGAATTTGTGAAGCGGGAAAAATTTATATGATGGTATCAGTGTATGTGTGTGTTCATGCACGTTTACATGTTGACGCCATAGTGTACAGTAAATGCATACATGCTTGTCTATATATGTGTGTACGTGCATATAAGTTTCGGTGTATATACGAGTGTGTAGGTATATGTATTGCATGCGAACTTATGTTTGAGCGTGTAACGGAATGTGTGTGTGTGCATGTGTGAATGTTTACATGCATGTGCGTGTGTATGTGTGCATGTGTACGTGTAAACACACAAACACGCCCACGCGTTTGGGATTATGTAATTGTAAAGATGAGAAGTGTTTATATCTGTTTGCGTATGTATGTATGTATGTATTTATTGTATGTATGTATGTATGTATGTATTTATTGTATGTATGTATGTATGTATGTATGTATGTATGTATGTATATATGTATGTATGTATGTATGTATGTATGTATTTACTGTATGTATGTATGTATGTATGTATTTACTGTATGTATGTATGTATGTATGTATTTACTGTATGTATGTATGTATGTGTATTCATTCAATCATACCTAGTTACACCACCAAGTTACGTCACACACACACACACACACACTTGCATCACTACACAGACTCCAGCTATCAGGAAGAATTAACTCGACACTTCATTAATCCAATTAGTTGAATGAAGAAAGCATCTGTGAAGGCGGACGAGCACCGTAATCTCCAGCGACCCAGAGTTAATTTTTTCCTAATTGTCTCTGATGGGACTAATACAATTCCAAGGACTAATTATTTTAAGCAATTACTCCCTCATTCAAAATTGGAGTCATCAGGGTCATTGATTATTAATGGCTCCAAGAAATGTCACTTTAATTAAAATTTGTAATTATAAAATTCTGCGTAGTGAGGTAATCTTGGCGATTAAGTGTGGTGGAAGATGTTGGCGCGGAGGTAGTTGTAGTATGGGTAGTAGTAGATTAAAGTAGTAGTAGGAGTAGTAGTAGAGTATAGTAGTAGAACTGCGGCTCAACTAATTCAACACATCTAGGGAAGCTACCTAGGTATTAGGATATTTAATATTAAGGTAATAAAATGGCGGCAACGATTTTAAAAGTAGTAGTAGTAGTAGTAGTAAGTTAAAGTAGTAGTAGTAGTAGTAAGTTAAAGTAGTAGTAGTATTTGTAGTAGTAGGTTAAAGACAGCGACCCTTCTTCGACATCAGGATTTTTTATCCCGTGGCCGCATGTCACCGTAACTTAGCTCTCGATGCTGCACACAGGAGGAACGAGAACGACAAGATATGGGCATACGGGAGAGAATTCAGAACGTTGATCAAGACAGCTTCACTCCTCTAGTGATCACAACCTCTGGTGGGATAGGACCAAGTGCAAGATGCTTCTACGCCTGGATGAGATGTCGACTATCCTTCTCTCTCCTTAGGTCGACTTTGCTCTGCCTCAGAGGAACGAGAGCATCGACCCCCAAAGCCGACAACAGTTGCAAATATTGACTATGAGGCAACAGTCACTGACTGCCGCATAGATCTGCGGCTCAACTAACTCAACACAGCTAGGATAGCTACTTGTGTATTAGGATATTTAATATTAAGGTAATAAAATGGTGGCGAAGGTATGGCTATTGGGGGAGGCTGGAGGCCATAAAAAAAGTAGTAGTTGTTGTTGTTTTAACAGATACATCCCCAATACTATCTCACTAAACTAGTCCCATGAACAAGATCACTGTAATGAGAAACATAAAAAAATAACGTCTTCACAATTATGTTACTCACTAAGTTAATGAAAAACATTGAATCTGAACTTAAGATGTATTACTTGCATTGTCCTCCTCTTGAGAGCAGCACGCAACTGCATTAAGCAAATATTAATTTGAAGACCAGCCCATTATCCACATCAATACAATATGTAAACACCGAGAATGAGGTAATTTACTAAATAGAAGTAATATGACGAACAAATATGAGCAGATGTTTGTACGATATTAATAACAATGAACTGCGGGTGCGCCATCCGAGTGAATACAGATCTCGCCTCCCGTCGAAAGGGCTCACTGGTTCGAGCCCGGGCCACCCCTGTTCACCCGGATATGGTGTCCTAAATTTATAATTGAGAAAATTACGGCGGTCGAGTGTTGTGCCGACCACAATGCCTTCCTTATGAACCGAAAAAAAAACTCATGTCTACAGCGTCTGATGGGTGTTGCCAGTTAGACAACAACTAATGTATTGTCTGTTAAGGCAATGGTAGTAAGAGAATCAGAGTTAGCAGGCCCTGTATGAAAGTTCAATCACTGGGTTGTTTCGCAGGTGCGCTAGTAGTTGCTGATGGTTAGAGTTAAACTGCCCTGACTACCGAGAAGTTTTAACCACGCTGTCCTAACTACAAGGTGATCCATTATAAGAGTGAGACTGTCCTCACCGCTTAAATTATATCAGGAAAGTTGGTGCCTAGTTCAGTGGTAAGTCCGCGAGCACTGACCTTATCACCCAGCCAGCACACGCTCTGGGAGAGTCTCCCCACTCCAGCTATCCTGTCCAAACCGCCGAATGATTAGCAATAATACCGTACTAATTGCCACTAGACTAAGAATTAATCCCGCCCTAAATCAACATAATATAGCCAGACCGCTACAGTAAACAAAGGGGCAGCCCAATACCGACCTAATTAACGATAGACGATGGCAATATGATTCTGTTTATACCGTAGCTGTAGCTGTTACCTCTCATTCTATACCGTACTGTACACAAAGGCATCTTACCCCTACACTGAAACATGAACACTAGTGAACAAAATTCGCATAACACTTTCACATCATCTGAAAGGTCAGGGATTGGATCTTAATTTTATATTCTCTGATATTTCTTAGTTTTAAGAGTATTATTTCGTGTTGTTATTCTGACATAATGTGTAACGAAAATTCACGTTTACCAGCAATAAATCAATTACATATCCGACCCAGTAGTAAATTCCAACTATTGCCAAGTGTCGGGGAAATTGTTTCTAGAAGACTTAAAGTATAAAATCAGCGTAACAACTGTTCATCAGTATTTTTGTTGCGAAATTCAAAACAAAGGAGGAATGAAAACGTAGGAAATAATATACATCACTGAAAAAGAAAACGACTACAGGCAGACAACAATGGACTGGCATAGAAGAGTAACAGACTGACAAGGAATATTACTCTCCCAGCCAGCACTAAAACACAGGTTGCTGACTATTTTTCTCTCTATTGTCTATCATACGACTGTTTTTCTTCTTCATTAGTCTAACATAATCGTGCTTTAAATCACCATCAAAAAGACAAGTAGAGTAGATTGAACTTTAACAAAATCCTTCCTCAGTGTAAATCAAGTACTGTATCATTAGGCATATTGTTTACTGGAGGAACCAATTAGATGTTATAGACAAAGAACACGAGAAGTCTTACACGAGGCACGACTGAATGAACAACACCTGTATTACTGAAAAGACTTAGCAAGGTTGTAGCAAGATATAGCTGAAGGAAACACTAGTGATAATTAAACCACACAACACAGCGAATGTTTAAATGGTAGAATATTATCACCTTACCTGGTCGTTAGGTGTTTATTAACTGTTTTAAAGGGTGTATGGAGTAGGAGGGTTGTTAACTACCTGTATCCGTTAGACAAGTGTATAATGCGACTCTGGGGAATAAACCACATGTTACTAATTAAGTCGCGAGTGATCCAGCTCACCTTAATTAGACAGTGTTGGTAATAGCATCAGTCAGCTGGCTCAAGGCTGCTGTGTCAGGCCCGTGTTACCTGCTGCAACACATCATACTAACTACTGCTAATTAGTCTGAATAATACCTCTCTTTGCACACACACACACACACACACACACACACACACACACACACACACACACACACACACACACACACACACACACACACACACACACACACACACACACACACATGTTCATTTTCTTTTCAGAGAATTAATGAGCAAATCCAAATGGGGAGTAATATCTTGTTATCTTTGCATCCACGTGAAATGATGAACCCGAGATGAGATTACATCCCGCGGTCGGCTGTGTGTAGGTGAGTGTGTCTGTAAACGTGACTCTTACATTCCCAGTAAGTCCTCGACTGTATATCAGATTAAGAAAGAATGCAACAGGAATCTTTTTCTAGGTAGAATCTCGAAAGAAGTTGTATGTTTATAGTAAATAAATAACCTTGTAAGTCCATTCTAAGGGTGAAGGGCCACTGTAAAGTTCTCAGTCGCGTTGGGACAGAGAGTAGTCTGGTAACTTCAGCAAATGGCCAGGCAGATGTAACCCTTTAGAGCCCGGTAAGCAGAGGTCACCGTACACACAACAGGCACGAAACACTCTACTGAAGTTGAACAAGTTAATACTCCCAGCCGAAGACAAAACAGTACTCCT